AGTGGGAGAAGAGATATAAAATTTCTGGAAATTTTGAAGCCACCGGGGGGGGGGACGACGACGACACAGGACTACTTAAGCATGGACATTTGGGGGGAAACCGAGATATATGCAATACTTACTTTCCTATCAAGCCTGCTGATAGCTAACCCTAACACAAGAACAAAGTTTTGAGTCCAATGGCACCTTTGAGACCAACAAAGTTTTATTTAAGGGGTGCTTGGCGGTTGCATAACTAGATATGCATACCTTAAATAAAACTCTGTTGGTCTCAAAGGTGCCACTGGGCTGAAATTTTGTTCTCCTGCTTCAGACTAACAAGACTACCCACCTGATTTAAGTTAGCGATTTACCCACAATAGCTCCCATTTCTAACTTAGCTAGCATATAAAGTTGTACTATTCTTCATTATTTGTGGAATTTAAAATATAAATATATTCATTTCCTAAAAGAAAAATGGCAAATATAAGAACATAAGAGAAGCCCATGTTGGATCAGGCCAATGGCCCATCCAGTCCAACACTCTGGGTCACACAGTGGCCAAAAATACCAGGAGCCACCAGGAGGTCCAGCAGTGGGGCCAGGATACCCAATACTTGGTATACAAGTATACCCAATACTTGAGAAAGAGTTGCAAACTGCTGCACCCTGCGCTTTCAAACTACATGTGTCTTTAATTTTTGCCACCTGGGAGATAAGGAAATATAGACGTTGAAGGTAGAAAACACATTTTGTAATAAACAAAAGGAAGTATATTATTTGGACAGAAACTCTCTCATAGAATCACAATAGGAAGGACGGCCAGCATGTCTGGCTATTAAAACACTGAAGTCTACTTTTTGATGACTGTTCTGTCATGGTCAAACCACTACTTCTCCTCCCCCCCCCTTAAGATGAGTGGCTTTGCTTTTTCTTTTTTAAGACACCAAAATATCAATATATCACTACAGTGCTGTAACAGTAGGCTGAGCAGATTCTCTGAATTCCCAACTTTCATTTAAAAAAGAGTATCTCTCTTTCCTCCGGAGCATCTCGTCGGTTTCACACCATTTGTTTCGATGCTTCCTTTTGGCCCGGTGCTTCCCCCATTTGCTCCGCAGCAGTTGAAATCCTCAAATCCCAGGATTTTCCGTTTGCTTCGCGGTGATTGAGCCCTCCCCCCTCCCCCCTCCCCACTTTTTCCACGCCCATTAGCCCACCTCCTCTTTTTTTTTTTGTTTAAAAGATTGGTGTCGTTAGTTCGTTAGTTCAGCACATTGCAGGAACGAAATTAAGGGCAGCGGGATCAGGGGCAGGCTGCCTGCGGCCTCGTGGCTCTCTCACTCGGCCGATCGGCCAGTCGGGCCGCCGCCGCTCCGGTTCTCTGCCGCCCAGCAGCCGCGAGAAGGGGGGCGCCGA